CTTATGATTCATTCGTTATGACTTGATGAAACTAACTTTAAATAAAAACTTTAATTAAAAGTCTAAAGGTTACGTTTTCAATAAAACTACCCCGTCATAAAAAGGAAAGTAAACACACAGTGAGACATTATGGAACAAGCATCTTCCTGTGGAAATAGTTTACTTCAGATTGAAATACACTTTGGAGAAGGTGTGTGACATTATTAACACTTATAACTAAAACTCAAACTCCCACTTGTCTGAGAGAAAGCTGCAAGTGAAGATGAGTTTATTTTTAGCTCCAGATTGAGTCCAAGAATACTTTTAAACATGAAAGGATTTCCATCATTAGAGGAACATTGGTTTTAGAAAATGCCAAATCAGAGCATAGAATTAAACTCAAAAGAAAGTCTGTGTCGCCCAGAAAGGCCTGCAGAGAAGGGTTGTTCTTCTGATAGATGTTATTGGTTATTTGCAACATAGAGAATAATATTTGAAATCTAGATGTTTGATTTTATACACTCTGAATTTGAGTTTAACTTGAAACAAAACTTGATAGAACAAAGTTTTAGCACTAGGGTGTAAACATCGATGCATATCAATTATTACAGACTATATACAATAAATCTGTGAGATGAAACCCATCGAACATTGCACCAAACTGCAGAAGCCACATTTCAACCAGAGGGCAGCACTGAGGCAGAATATTGCTGATTTAAACCAGTTTAAACCATAATGTCAAAATGTGCACTGTTCTGAAAATGGGAGATGAGAAAGAGTGCATTAACCCTTTGAAATTCATAAAGTTTAAATGGGTAATTTATTATTATTTTTAACTCTTTAAATGTCTGGTAGGATAAATATATCTAACTCAAGTGTGTGCTACATAAACCATAAGAATAAAGCCAATGAAAATGGAAGATTCTGTATTAAGCGTCATTTACTACGTCCAATATATTAGTTTGAAATCATTACAGTTATGAATTAATGGAATGCAGTAGCCCAGCAGTTCTTCTTGAGAATTTAGGCAGATTTATTATTCAGAATAATGGAGTATGGAAGTTATGGGTTCAAGTGAAGAGAAAACTTTATTAATATAAAGCAAGGCAAACAAAGGGACCAGAGATGAGGACAATGTTTCTTTGACAAAAATATGTGCTGTTTAGGTATTATTTTTACATTATATATATGTCAATTTGTTTGCTGTTTGTACAAAATGTTCGACAAACTGGTTACAAGAAAACTCATTGTAGACTTGAGAGAGCAAAAATTATATAATGGTACAAGTGTTTGTATATAGTTAAAAAAAAACTATGTAGTCTAATTAAATTTTAACAAGTTAACTTAGAGTGGTTTTGTGTAGAGAAGTGAGACTTTCAGCTGCTTAGACTCACTGATGCTGTTTTACACAATCACTGCACACTATTGCTTTGATTGATTTTCTGTTGGCTCAGGGCAAACATATCAAACCTACTGTTTCGGACTGGAATAGAAACTCTACCTTTCGCCTCAGTGCTCCCAAATCCTTTGCTATTTACTAATAATTTGCTAATAAGAACTCTTTGCTAAAATAATAGTAATAAAAACTAATTTTATTGTAAGAGCCTTTTAGGATACCTGAGGACAGGTGCTGTGTAAGTTATTTTGTGAAGTTACTCCTTTTTAATTTTTAATTTTTTTTTTTTAGAAATGATAGGCAAGTTGGAAATGGGCCAGAGGTTATTGTAGTTGTTCTGATCTGACCGAGGTTTTTCAGTGTAGAGGGAAGGAACAATTCAAGAGGTAAGAAAGGAGTGAATAATGGCGGTTATGGTCAGGAGCAACGGCTGGAGACCAGAGGTGACCAGAGCATTTAGAATAGAATCAAGCAGGCAGGTGGAGGACTTAGAGCTATGGATTAAGTTGGAAATTTTGGAGATACTTCTGAAATAAAAGTTAGAGAATGACTGAGAGATGGGATGGATTTCAGTAGAAGACACAGCAGAATGGTTTGGAGATATATGATGGTGAATTCTGTTAATTTTCTAATTAAAAATTCTGCATTGTAGAATTAGAAGAGTTTGAACAGGAAATGAGGGTTTTTTTTAAACTGTAAAAACAAAGTCTTTAAATTACCTTTATTGGAGCAGATACAGTAAATCCAGCAAAGTAGTGGGGTTTAGTTTGAGTACCGTAATTGATTCCTTATTTTTCTTATATGCAAGCTTTGTAGATGTCTTTGTGAGTAGGCAGTTTGTTTTTAGATTTAACCAAATTGACGACATTTAGCTTTCTTAGTTCAGGTATAAAGCAGGGGGCAGAGTGGGAGAAGGTAATAGACCAGGTTTTTACTGGAGAGGTCAGAATATTATTTATACAATTTACACTACTGTTATACAGAGATGCACATTGATCCAGGGTGGAAGAACTTAGACTTTGAGAACTTTTATTGTCATCCTGTATACAAAGATTGTATACAAAATGAAAATTCGTTTTGTAGAGCTTTCATGGCATTTCCATTCGTTAGGTGAAACAGATTAACTGGGATATGCAACATGCAATAAAATATATCCCCAAGTTTACCAGAAAAAATACGCAATGCTATAATAAAATTCAACATAAAGTTTTGTGTTTTGTAGCTCAAAGAGACTCAGACATAGCTGCGCCAGCCAACCCAGAGAGAGCCAGACTCACAGGACACAGACTTAAAATTAAAGTATAAGAAACCTACAAGAACTAAAGCACAAATAATAAAAATCAGTGTATAAATTATTTTTGAAATATAAGGTTCAATACATAGACTTTGGCTGTCAATGACTTATGGGACAAATTTCTAAATTAGATTTTGCTGCTTGTGAAGGAGGATAATCACTGCTGCAGCTTAAAGGGAAGCCATGCATGGATGGATGGATGGAAGTGAAGTTGTGTCCATACTAGGGATGCATGATATATTGCTGTTGGCATCGGTATCTGCTGTTATCCATCATTTTTATACTTTAATAATTTTGAGCCCTTTATAAAATAATGCACTAAAGGTAGACATCCGTCTGTAACTATAAATTCCACAAATGCATTGTGGTTCTCTTGTGTTCTCAACAAAAGTAAAGCATTAAATATATGTTTGAGCTCATTTTTTGAAAATATAAACTCTATCTTTCGGGTTGAGTAACTCTAGGTCCATCAGTCACCACCCATAGAGCGTCCCCACCAACTTTTATCGCAAAGTTACACCCTTGGTTTAAAGTAAGAGATCAATAAAAATGTCTCCGGACCTTTACTGGTTAATGTTTTTTCTTAATTCGGACCGCACTAATTTTAATTGGTTACCCCTGGTTTAATGTTTATAAACCCAGTAATATTACATTAGGAAAAAGAGAAGTCAGGTGAAAGGACCAATTAGCCAGTTCATTTAAAAAGACACTGTTAGGTTTAGGGGTGGTGGTAAACTGTGGTATAATTGTAAGTATCTATCCAGGAATTTTACATGGAACACATTCCATAGAGGTTAGAGTTGCGATTGGGATGGAGTGTCAATGTCTTGCGGTGGAT